GCAGCATCGTAGGCTCGAGCGGCACTCGGGGGTGAATAAGACCCCAACCATATTCTTGTTTTCTGGTTTGGTGCTCTGATCTCTGAAACCCATGAACCCCAGCTTCTCATTCTCACTCCCTTGTACTTCTTTTTCCCATCTGATGCTGCTGGCGACGAAGATTGAGGTTGAATTGGCTTTGATGTCTCTGTGTGGATCTTGTGCCCTCTCTTGACCATTATAGAGACTCGACTCAAAGATGTCTCAAGATCACTCTCCTTGGGCTGCAAAGGGTGTTCAACAAGTCTCTATTCCTCTCTTTTTGAATGTGGTTTTTCTTTCCTCCTGTTTGCTATTCCGAAAGTAAGGGAATGAATCAGATCGAACTGAATGTGGGGGAAGTAAAGGTGGCCTATTTATAGATGAATGCTTGTGTTCTAAGACATTAATTAAATACTCTACTCAATTCACCCCAAAGAAAAACAAGAACTTCTATTCAAGATATGACATCTCTGCCAGATGGTTATTAGTTGATTTAAATTTAATGTGAACATTAACGTCAGACAACCTAGGTCTTAAAATGACTTCTTTGTCCTTTCTATATGAAGCTTCCTTCATGCTGCATCATTTGGTTGCAACTGTATCGCAGTTCTGTCACATGCCCTTTCATTTTGTACCATAGAAGTTTCAACTTTTACCTCTTTTCTTTATTTTCTGAGCTTATTCATCGCTTGGATTAAACAAAGAGAGTAATTTTTCTGATTACTCTTCAGCACATTTTGAGCACTCCACTAATGTGAACTAGCCTTTTGGTGCGTTTGAATAACAAAATATCTTTTCTGGTCTTCGGTGGGGGGCAGTTAAGATTTAGTCAATGGCAGATTTCTTGTTAAAACATGTTAAATATTTCTAGTTTACCACGTGAGATGCTGCAGAAGTTACCCTATGGAAACTAAACAAAAATAATTGAATACGACTTTCTTGAAGTCGGCAGTTTAAGGACAACCCAAGAAGAGAGAATTCTCAAAACGCCACTGTTTAAATAAGATGAAAATTCATTAAAATGCGTTAGACTTGGACTTCAATCCTATGGAGGAATAATATAAAAAAAGCAGGAGATAGTAAAGAACGTTAACCCCCTTGACTGTCTCGGGTAACATCATGGTTCCCAAAGGACAGTAAATAAAAAAATGAATAGCAATTTAAATAACGTATTAAGAGAATGAATATAAATATATGAGACGAGAATTTATATTAATTTATGACAATAATAATTATGTATGCGCAGAGAGAAAACATAGGATTCCCTGTTAAATAAGAGGCAGCTTCCAGGATCTGCAGGTGGTGGTGCATAACAAGAATCCAAAAAAGGAAAAGAAATTATTAGAAAATTAAAAAAAAAAAAGAAGAAGAAGAAAGAGGAAGGGAAAAATATGTCAGTAGCAGATGAGACGCGCAGTCTAAATCAGTAGTGAAACCCATTTGTGATGCAACCAGCTGTTGCTTCTCTGTACTCAGCTCCAAAACCGCGTCAAGGAGCCTCCTTTCCTCATCCTCATGCATCTTTGTCTATCTCCATCTAATAATCAAACATTATTTAATATATAATTAAATGCATCAATCTCTCTGCTCATCTCAACCGTTGGATTGCCATGCTTAGTTGCTCCACGCCTCCATAACTTGACTTTCACTCTCCTTTCTAGTTTTAAGGTATTCCAATAGATTCTCCACTGGTACGGCACAAACGTTGTATGCCTTTTTCCTTCGGGAAAAATGCCATGCCAGCACATATGCATGGGATTGGAGGATAGGTTTTCAAAACACTGCCTTTTAATATAAGTTTTTGACTCTTTCTAACATGGGTCTGTTCTGTAGGGTCGACTTTCTCCCATTCAAAGACCTTCGTTCTATCATTTCTTTTTCCATATATCATCATCATCATTTGAAGTTCATATGGTAGTAGTAGCCAGTAGGCAAACCAAAGTATGCGTGTTTGTCAACCTGACAGCAAAGGCTTGTCATTAGTCCACATAGAAGCCCACCTCCTCCTCTTTTGAATTTGTAATGGTCATTTTAAAAAATGAAGAGAAGACACCCAAACCTCTTACCATCGTACTATTTTAATTACTCGGAGCTTGTGTATAGAGCAAAGGATTCTGCAACGGGCGTGTCCTTTTGTATTAAATGAAAAAAAAGGGAAATTAATAGTAACAGTCGAGAGTTAAGTTGCATTCTCCAATGAGAATACAGGAGTGAAGAGAGCAGTGTCGTTAATCCGTACAAAGTCGTCTGCCTTCCTCCCTTCTTCCTAACGCTCTTGTGATGCACTCGGGAACATAAAGAATATAAATATCAGGTTTCAAGGCATCACGTCTGGTGCTGATAACAAATTCTACGAATCTTAAAACCATGTACGTACGTGCTCTGTTAATTAACAAAATTTGACATTTGATTAATTAGGTGCAGCTAAGGGTACGGTCTTTGACGTGACATTACTTTTCATTATAATGATTCCCACATGTTTTTGCCGCATTCCTCATTGTAAATCCCTCAAATATCGAAGGGGGGAGAGAGAGAGAGAGACCGAGTGTTCTGTTTGCTGGAAGCTGGATGGAAACTTCGTCTGCAAAATTGGGTTTGAGCCTAATGCTGCATTAGCTGGACCTTGTGGGATTAGTTGACAAGTTTGCCGTTTAATTTTGCTAATATATGTGAACACGATCACTCTGTTCCCCACCCCACCCCCCTTCTTTTTTTCACATAATTCTACATCTGCTAATGTTTTATATACATGTGCGCGCGCAATATAGAGTAAATTAAAGGGACCACCTCTATAATATAATTGTGTGCATGTGTTTTGACTGACGTATTAAATTGGGTTGTGACTGATTATGATTACCTGGAAAGTAAAACAAAGTTCTCTCAACTCGAGCAACTCCTGCATTCCTGGGCAAAATAATATCTACCGCTTTTGCCAACGTGTGTTTGGGAGAATTGAAGCTAGTGGCTGATGTTTAATTTCTGTAAAGCAGCACATTTTTATGTTGTCTCCTTTAAATTTTCTTTTTTCCTTGGGATAATGAAGGAATGCGTTATCTATATCATAGACTAGCTAAAACCACACAGGGAGATCAGCTGGTGGGGAGCTGATTGACCATAAATATAAATGCATGCGATCTTGATAATGTGGCAGAGATATGCTTAGCAGTACCTCTATCCTAACTGGCCCGTACCGACTTGGACCTTCCGTACCCCTCAGACTTTGAGTGAAAGCGACAAGCAAATAATATAAGGCCGCAATAAATGAGAGAGGCAAGTACAGCCAGCAGGAAGTAGGGCCATTCCATATTGAAACCTCACAGAAGAAGCATGCCTGTGCATGCATATCAGAGCAGGATCAGATCCTTCATTTTCAAATAAATTATGAAGAGGGCTAAGAGATTGGGAGGGATGGGCGAATCTGCACTGGTCAAGCATTTCTTTTTCATTTGGGTTGGTTGTTGGGGGATGAAGAGGCAGCATCCATGTGCTCTCTGAGTTCGTCTTACAATTTGTGGGATTCAATTTTCTGCTTTAGATAAAATGCATATTTAGTGAAACTTCCCAGCAAACACTCTCCCATCGCTGCACGGATATCCTCAACAACCATATCTGTTTACAATTCGCGTCATCCCCTTCAGTGTTTGATAGCTGTTTCCTTATGTGCAATAACATATATATAATTCAATATATCTCTCTTGCACCCGACTTCTTCATCCACTTGCTGCAACTAGTAACCTTCTTAGCCGCTTCCCTATTCCCCAACCTGTTTCTTTTTTCACTATTCCAGCTAACACTGTCTAACAAATCTTCTCGTAGCTTTTTAATTGACTGAATTGGGTCTTGTCTGGGGAAGTTTTGGATATAATAAGGCCAACAAAAGCAACAGATGGACAGATATACTATCGACGGGGGAATGAAGCATTATGAGTTATTCGTTACCCTCAGTCAAAATGTAACGAGAATCAGTAAGTGTTTATTGCATAGTACACACTACTCTGAGCTAAAGACTTGATTTTTTTTTTTTATCACCGAAAGAAAAAAAAGAAGACTTGATTTTCAGCTCTTCATGGATGCGGCACGATAATTAGCGTCTTAGTAATTTATCATGAAATTCCTTTTTCCCGCCTCACTGACTATCTCTTGAATTTACTAGATTGGAAAAAATTAAGAAAAATTGCCGTTTGAAGTGAGGACTATGGACGTTTGAAATGACTTAAGCAACTTTTTAATTGTGATTTATGGAATACGAAATAAATATATGAGAGCAGTTTTATCCTGATTTACGTGAGATATGCTTACGAGGATTTTTAGGTCCCGTTTGCTATCGCGTTTAAAATCACTTATAAGTATATTTTACATGAACCAAGACAAAACTTATCTCACATATTCACCTCGCATTTTGTAAATTATTATTGAAAAATTGTTTATAAGCCATTCTGAAAAAACATTGTGAATCCAAAAAAGCCCTTGACTATTACATGGTTTGCAATGTTAGACATATTTATTGTATGAGTCCAAAAAAAAAAAGACATATTTATTGTAACTCAGCATTGGCGAACGACAAATCATTTTGAAAACTAAATTCTCTTAGTCATAGTTTAATGAAACAAATGACTTTCACATCAAAAGAATTAGATTATGGCAGAATCCTACCAAAAGAATTGAAATTACTAAATCTCAAATGAAGAATTTTTACAAAAATATATTGTTATTTACAAGTCTAATATTGTCAAAATCAATTAAAATGTTGGTACTAAATCTTATTTAAAATTTAGTAATTTTAAGCTTTTTTTCCGAAAAATTCTCCCTTAAATTATATATGCTAAAATAAAAGTGGGAAAAGCTTTACAGGACCCAGAATTCACTCAACGAACCCGGAGTAACCAAGAAGATTCAAATGGAAATCATAACAAAATCTGATGATCTGAAGTTGTGGAGACTCTTTCAAAGGCCCACAGGCCCAATACGTGCGGAGGATGGAACAAGGGTATCATATTACTCCATACTCCACACTAATCAGTTTTGGCCCACAGAAAACAATCACCGAGCTCTGAGAGAAGAGCAAATGCTGACCCAAAATGCTTAGAAGACAAGCACACGCATGCAAATGAAAGCACAGAAGCCAAGTTCATGAATACTGCAGAAAAATTATAAACCATGTCAATCCACCCCACCAGCGCAGAGTTGTGGCAACTGATTAAATTAGATATCAACTCAAAGTGCTACTTAAGGGTCACACAGACATCTTGCGTGTTACTGGCTTTCCAATGCCTTATGGAAACTATTTACAGATCACACAGACAAATTTCAAAAGTTATGACGCATTACCAGTGCCGGAACATCTGATTCCCCAATGCCTCGTGGGGTGGGAGCATCCACCTCCCAGAATTCTTCACCTTATAAGTCACACGAGGCTCAAGTATTCTTCACCTTCAGTCGTTGCGAGGTTTAACAAGATAGCCTCGTCCGTTACCAAGAAACAACGGTGGACATCGATTATCATGCTTCCATAAATGAACTCAAGGAACTTATCACACTCTCGTATACTTTTATTCCCTTCAAATACACAGTATCTCGTAGATGCTGCAAGTGAATTCATGGGAGTTAAAAAGAGATGAGCTATCACTGAAATCATATGAAATAGCAGGAGAGATTCCCAATGAAGAATTAGAAATCGTCAAACCTCATTGTGGTCATGAAGCAAGATGGGAATATTTGACATCGGTGAGAAACCAAGTACAGGAATTCCTGTCTGTCTAATGTACCGAGCATCAGTTGTTGAAGACAGAATTTCAGGCTTCGCTAGTTTTCCCCCAGCAAATGTGATAGCCTGCTCAAAAACTAACCACCATGAATTGGAGGCATTAGTTAAGGTCATTAAAGGGCGCCCCATGTAGTCTCTAATGGGTCCTTTCTCTATGATCTGCCATACACAGAATGCAATCAGCCTGTCAACCATCATTCTATACTTTTGTTTGATCACAAACAAGCAAAAGAATAACAATCCTGAAATAAAAAGCTAACACAATGACCATTAGCAAAATGGTCAGAGTTTCCAAAGCATCTCAGTTTCTGATGTTACATCCAATATAGCCAAAATATCAAGGTTGTCAATGCATGCAGCAAGTCAAGAACTGAAACGATGAAATCATGAACTAATCAAGGCAACAAGCACAATAATGAAGAAAACAGTATCTCAGGCGGAAGTAATTCATCCCAGGATGTATGGGAGTAACACCCACCCCAACTTCTGATGATTTGATTGATGGAAATGATTCATAAGGCAAAATAATTTGAACAGATGACACTTATGCTAAACAATAATGAGTGTCATATAACCAGTAACCAACCGACCTTCCCCTACACAGCCCTTGAATTTCATAATTTTGGTGAAAAACGGTACCTTTCGAGTTTCATACACCAGGAACCCATCCAAATAGCACTATTTTACTTTAAAAATTAGCGGGAATACAAATCATAGAGCAAAGAAAAATATGTATAAAAAAGTGTTCATTCACCCTTTTCTTTGAAACTTGTTTGAAGTGCATGGACGATGGTACTAGGCTATCACCAGGCAGCAATCTGATAATCATGCTTACAATGCTAGTTAAGATTCTGTCATCTTCATGCATGTAATACTCACGTACGACCAAAAAAAGAACAACAACGTTTTCGTGCTAATTACACAAGTCACGGCATGTAGAATAACTGGCTAGCCTACCAGGCCAATGTCCTCAAAAAAAGAAATTCAAACAGTACATAAGCAAAAGTACAGTTAACTTGAACGTAGAAACATAACTCGTTAGCTGATGTCTGAAATAACATAGCATTATCCGTCAAAATGAAATGAAATAATCCGTCTCACACTTTAATATTTATATGCCCCAAACGAATACTTTCACAATGACAGATATAGTTGCACTCGATTAAAAAATACCACAGGACCAATTTCACAAATACTTAACCTCATATGACATATTTCTAATAGCTGGAACCCATTCTTTAGCAATTCTCCTTTTCATTTCTTCTGGGTTCGCAGTGGGGGGCAACCTCAGATCGAATCCTGCTTCTGCTTCTGAAGGTTGCACATTCATCGCAAATCCCTGCATAAATGCCACGAACCATTTTATATACAACATTGATGTAGAAGTTCTCACCTGGAAAGATATTTGTTTATGCTACTCACTGTATCTGAAGTAACGCCAGCTTTAACATAAACGGGATTCACCGAAATAACTTCGGAATTAGCCGCTTTACCCGCCTTAACCACATCAAATTGACTCTCCCTAAACCTACTGATAACTTCAAGGCTCTTCATCAAATTCTCCATCGCACTGTTATCATACATCCTCGAACCGTGTCCCGGTGGACCATTTGCCTTTATTTTCAATCCCCATGGTGACCTATCCGCATAGAAAACTCTAAACTCGTCATCAGGCGAGGCCTGCCCTTCATCCAATACAAATCCAACATTCAAATTCTCGAAGTCCACCGAATGCACAAACTTAGCAGCCCCATGAAGACCACCTATTTCCTCGTCCGGTACATAAGACACATGGATTGTGCGAGCAGGGGCGAAATTCTTGTTTTTTAGATTTCTAATTGCCTCAATATATTGCATGCCGATGCACTTGTCGTCCTGGGCTCCTCGAGCAAAAATTTTGCCGTCAGGGGTCCTCACAGCAGAGAAGGGGGGGTGGAGCCACTTGGAGGGCTCTGCCGGAACTGAATCGAGATGGGAATTGAAAAGAAGGGAGGGAAGAGATGGATTTGAGCCAAGCCATGTTAGGAGGAGGAGGGGCTTCCCAGGTGAAAATTCGAGAGTTCGATACTGGAGGCCTATGGATTGTGCTTGAGAAATGAGAAAGGAGACAGCGGAAGCATAGTCTGGTTGTGGGTGAGCCGTGTTAATCCTCAGGTATTGCTGGAAGCGAGTGACCGGCGTCTCTTGTTCTTGGGGAGAGGCCAGTGAAGTTGCAGAGAGGATAATGAGATGAATAAGTAAGAAATGGCGGCAGTGAGGGAGCGCCATGGAAGAGGGAGGTCGATGAGTGGCCAGAGCGGGTGCCGCTTCTTCTTCTAAATTCTAATAATATATCTTTTGGCTCAATTCAAGTACACACAAAAATCTCGTAAGCTTTGGAAAATTCACGAGTGTTATAGATAATTTATCATTTTTTTGCCGGAATATTTGTAGTCTACTACCATTTAATCACCTCTCAACTACGCTTTGGCAAAAAAGAAAAAAGGGAAACTATCAACTAATCATTTCAAATTTTGATCAATTATTTTATAAGTAAAGTTTCAAAAGCGTCTCAGGCTTAAGTGAAATGGTTTTTGAGGAGACACTTCTCTTCATATATTATTATACAAAATTAGGGTAGTTGTTCCAAAAAACAAAAAATTCGGGTTTCTTCCTTTCCTTTCCTTCGTAACATGAAAAAGAAATATCCACGGGAAAGGAAAGCAATATGCAACGACGATGATCAGACACAAATAGGAACCAAATAAGACTGCCAATGGATATATATATATTAATGATCACTGATGCAGTACATAAATGAAATCATATCAGTACGTTCTCGCGCATTACAGCAGAGAATATTTAGACAAAGAAGAGAAAAGCAATAGGAGGGGGAAATCCAGAGAATCTGGCCAGAGGGAATAACAACCAAAATCATGCACACCCATGCTTAATGGCTTTTGTCGTATTATATAGGAGCGTCCTCTCCTAATTCCCGAAGCTTCCACGGCCTTTTCTTCATTCGTTGGCTTTTGCGCAAACCGGTAATCTGATTTGGGCCCCTAGTTGCACCACTCTCTGGATCAACATGGCCCGTCTGGTGTGTGGTCGTAACATTACCCCGCCCATTAAGAACGACCGTGTCCTCAAGGTCGAGGGATGGGTAACACTGTTGTAGAACGTCCTTCTCTTCCCACGTGGGTGTAGAAGATGCATCCCATGCAACTAAAAACTGCTGCACTTGTCCCTTGTGTGACTGAATCATTCGGGAACGCAGGATCTGTATAGGTTGGGCGACTGGTCCTTCCGGCATGGTCAGTAATGGCAGGGGCATATAAGCTTCTTTAGGCTCATCACCGAAAATTTTTTTGAGCAATGAAACATGAAAAATCGGATGAATTCTGGAATGATCCGGTAGCTGTAACTTATAAGCGACTTTGCCAATTCTGCTTATCACTTGGAAAGGCCCGAAATAAACCATAGAGAGTTTATAGTACTTGCGGAGTTGGACTGAATGCTGTCGGTAGGGCTGTAACTTCACCAAGACCCAATCCCCTACTTCGAATTCCACATCTATACGCTTCTAGTCAGCAAACCGTTTCATGCGGTTTTGGGCCCTCTGTATGTTTTGTTTTAAGACAGTTAAAACTTCATCCCTCTGTTCCAACTGGTGGTGCACATCTACTGGGGTATCCTCAACGGACGAGTGTTTCAACAGCGGTGGTGGTTCTCTACCGTATACCACTGTGAATGGGACCATACCAATAGCCGTCTGAAATGATGTATTATACCAGAACTCAGCCCACGGTAAGAAGTCGATCCATTTCCGTGGAAATTCATGCGCCATACATCGTAAATACATCTCCAGGCACTTATTAACAGCCTCAGTTTGACCATCTGATTGAGGTTGATACGCGGAGCTCATACACAATGACGTCCCCTGCAATTTCATAAGATGTTTCCAAAAACTACTGGTGAAAATCCGATCCCGATCAGAAACTATGGTCTTTGGTAAGCCATGGAGTTTGACCACATGCTGTAAAAAAACTTTAGCAACTTGTTTAGTATTAAAATTGATTGGCAGAGCAATGAAGTGGCTGTATTTTGACAACCGATCGACCACCACAAATATATTAGCATACCCTCTCACTGGAGGAAGGTTTGTAATGAAATCAATTGAAATGTCATACCAAATACGTTTTGGAATGGGTAGAGGATTCAGTAAACCAGCAGGGTGGAGCTGACTTGTTTTAGCTTTTTGACATACAGAACAACATTTGACATAGTTTCTGATCTCTCGACGCATCTGTGGCCAGTAAAACAATCGAGCAATGCGGTGGAAGGTCCGTAAGTACCCTGCATGACCCCCAATGGCGGATGAATGAAACTCCTTTAATATCTGTTTGATGAGTTCGTGGTCATCATGAGGTAACACTAAGTGGTTTTTCCAGTACAACTCGCCATGTCTCACCCGAAAATGCCCCACGGTTTCTGGAGAATTCAGGACACGGTCCTTTTCAGCTTGAATCACCGATGATGTGTGTACCCGATCATAAACCAGGTTCATAAGAGAGTTCTCAAGTGTAGTCAAACTAAAGCACGTTGCCCGAGATAGAGCGTCAGCAGCTTGATTAGAGCTCCCTAGTTTGTATTCGATGCTGAACTGGTACCCAAGTAATTTTAGAAGACACGCTTCCTGCTCAGGGGTTTGGATGGTTTGAGATTGCAGGTGTTTTAAGCTTGCATGATCTGTCCAAATAATGAAAGGGTGACCTATTAAACAGTGTCGGAACTTTGCTACTGACTCCGTGATTGCGTGCAACTCCCTGACGTAAGCTGATTGAGACTGCATTCGAGTTGAAAGCTTCTTAGAAAAGAAAGCGATCGGGTGGTTGCCTTGACTAAGCACTGCGCCGATCCCCACCCCTGAAGCATCAGTCTCCAGAATAAAAGGCTTAGTAAAATTAGGTAAAGCCAGGACAGGGGCATTGGTTAGCGCTTCCTTCAGCTTGTCAAATGCCCTTTGAGCCTGATCATCCCAAACAAAAGCGTCCTTAGCCAACAACCGTGTGAGTGGGCCCGCAACATTAGCATACCCCTTGATAAACCGTCTATAATAGCCACTAAGACCCAGAAAACTCTTCAGCTGCGTTACGTTTGATGGACAGGGCCACTGTTGGATGGCTTGAACCTTTCAGCGATCCACCTCCACTCCCATACCCGACACAATATGGCCTAAATATTCTATCCTTTTCTGCCCAAACGAACATTTTGACATTTTTGCAAATAATTGATGCTTCTGTAATTGACTCAGTACCAAGCCCACATGCTCTAAGTGAGCTTCCCACGTGCTACTATATATCAAGATATCATCAAAAAAGATTAGAACAAAGCGTCGCAGGAACTCCCTGAAAACAGAGTTCATCAACGATTGAAACATGGCCGGCGCATTAGAAAGACCAAATGGCATGACGAGCCATTCGTATAGCCCCAAGTGTGTTCGAAAAGCAATCTTTTCCCTGTCACATTCACGCATTAGAATTTGATGGTAACCAAAACGGAGATCCAGTTTCGAATAAAACACTAATCCATGTAATTCATCTAGTAACTCGTCTACCGCGGGCATTGGAAAAGCATCTTTAATTGTAATCATATTAAGAGCTCGATAATCAACACAAAAACGCCACGTTCCATCCTTTTTCTTGACCAATGTAACCGGTGCTGAAAATGGACTTGAACTGGGTTGAATCAACCCTTGCTCCAATAGTTCTGTCACAATCTTCTCTATTTCAGCCTTTTGACTCATTGGGTAACGGTATGGTCTGACTTTTACCGAACCCACCCCCGGTTGCAGCTCTATCCTGTGTTCATGCCCTCTTTTCAGTGGTAACCCCAGGTGCTTTGAAAAAACAGAGCCGTATTGTTGTATCAGTTCCCTCAACTCATTCGGTGTATCTTCTGGAATCAACAATTCTTTCGGCTCCTTTTCAATTTTTTCGATAGTATATAACTCAGCTATTGCTTCTATCTGCTGTATTCGAACTAAGTGGTGGAGCTGAGCATGTAATAGGGGAGGTCCCCTAAAGCCCTTCAAGGTGATAAATGCACCATCATTTTGTAGTATTTTAATCACCGAGGAGCTATAATCGGCGACGTGCAGGCCTAATGTCTCCAACTAGTTAGCTCCTATTATAGCATCGACCCCTGCTACTGGTAAAATATACATGGTAATGTGAAGTACATGCCCATCGATATTAATTGGTAAATTTGAAATGACTTCATCACTTTTTAAGACCTTCCCTAACCCCCCAAGTACTCTCAACTCCGGGGCGGGCTCTAGAGGAAGTTGCAAGTGTTTTACTATCCGAGGATGCAAGAAGTTATCTGAGCTCCCGCCATCGAGCAATGTTTGTATTTCTGTTCTCTGAATTTTTCCTGTGAACCGGATCATAGCAGGGCCCTGTGTGCCTCTCAATGCATGCACAGATAGATGATGCAGAGTAGCACCTATGTCTTGATCTTCCTTCATTGAGTCAGACTTAATTTCTTCTCCCTCGACTCCTTCTTCCCCCATTAACATCATTAGCTGTTTGTTGGGGCATCGATGACTCGGGGTGAATTTAGCATCACAAGTATAGCACAAGCCCTTATCTCTCCTTACTTGCATTTCAGCTGCCATCATCCTCTTAATTTGAGGGGTGTTTGGAGATGGTAACAATGGCGGTAAATTTGCCTTCCCACCAGTGCTCGAGCTAGAGGCCATCGACCCTCCCCCTGTGACTGTGGTAGTCGACTTTGTTTGATGATTCACGCTCCCAACAGATTGACTGTACAGAGCTCGCGTTTTTGCGGTGTTGATCCCATAAGTAGTGGTTTCTGAAAATAGTCGTGATAGAGCCATTGCCTTCAGAACTGTTGTTGGACGTTGCACCATCACGTCACGTCGCAACTCCGGTTTCAGACCCCCCAAATAACAGTCTAATAACGCAGGTTCAGGAACATCCTCTGTTCGGTTTGCCAGCGATAGGAATTTACTGTTGTATTCCTCTAACGGTCCTTGTTGTGTCAACTTGAAGAGCTAAGCACGGGCGCAGTCAAACTGCGTGGGGCCGTATTGCTCCTCCACCGCTTGCGCGAGGTCTTGCCAGTGGGACACTCGGTTGGTTTTCTCTAACATCTGAAACCACGGTAGAACATCACCGTCAAAATGAACGGAGGCGATGACCAACCTCTGTGGATCTTCAACTCCATAATATTTAAAGAACTGCTCCGCTTTAAAAATCCAATTCAGTGTGTCTGTCCCATCAAATCGAGG